CATCCAGGCCATGCCCCCAGCTAGGAGCACCCACTCCCTCCCAGGCAGTCCAGTCCACTTTGGAACTGGTAGAAAGCTCTTCCTGATATCAGGCCTACATTTCGCTTTTCTGCATCTTCCACTCATAGCTTCTAGTTCCACCTTCCAAAGCCAAACAGAGTCAGTCTAGTCTGCATTCTGGGGGACTGCTTCAAAAAGACAGCTATCAAGTCTCTCCTAAGTCTTCTGTTCTCCAGGCTAAATGCCCCCAGTTCCTTCAACTGATTCCTCATATGGATATAAGAGCTAGGCTGTTTACCTCCTTGGGAGGCCCTCCAGCATAGCAGTGTGCTTTCTTAAAATGTGCCCAGAACGGAACACAGCATTCCAGGTTTGCTTGGACCAGCGTAAGATAGAACAGACCTATCACCTGCCCCATCCTAGATATTACATTCTTCTTCTTGCAGTCTAAAGGCAGATTAACTTTCTTGGCAGCCATATTCGGAAGATGTTTTTGTGGGAACTGCTGCCTGGCTATTTATACTTATGAAGTTGACTTTTTGAGCCCAGATGTAAGACTTTGCATTTATTCTCATTCAATTTCATATAGTAAATACATATTTATTAACATGGAGGAGAAGATGAGCTTAAATACATAAAAGGGATGGATGAGTGGATAGATGGATAGATATATAAATAACAGACTGATGGACAGATGGATGGATATGGGCAGCTAGGTGGTGTGGAGTGCTGGGCCTGGAGTCAGGAAGACTTATCTTTCCAAGTTCAAATGTGGCCTCAGATACTTCCTAGCTGTGTGATCCTGGGTGTCACTTTACCCTGTTTGCCTCAGTTTCCTCATCTATAAAATGAACTAGGGAAGGAAATGGCAAACCACTCTAGCATCTTTGCCAAGAAAACCCCAAATGGGGTCCCAAAGAGTTGGACATGACTGAAAAAAGCCTCAACAACAAATGGCTGGGCAGACAGAGCATTTATTGAGTGCCCACTATGTGCCGAGCACTGTGCCAGGCACTGGGTGTACACGTACAAGCAGAAAGAGAGGCAGTTTCTGTCTTTAACAAGCTTATATTCTAAGAGGAAGCTAATCCATAAATGAGAGCTGGAAAGTTGCAGGGAGGAGACAAGGATTGGAAGGAAAAGGGAACGGCCAGATTAGTCCAACAGAAGAGCTTACATAGTTCAACCAGAAAGAAACTGAGGAAACCTCCATATATTTGGGTCTTGGTTAGTCTTGGGGCAGTTTCGACTGAATCTCAGGGACACTTCTGTCAACAAGCATTTATTAAGTGCTTGCTGTATGCCAGGCCAGGCCACAGCAAAGAGCTGAGAATTCAAAGAAACACAAAATAGTCCAGTCCCTGCCTTCAAAGAAGTTCCATTTCCCTATGCCATCATTTCTAGCTGTTCCAAGAGAGGGTTACATTTATTTCATTTTTCTGCTGCTATTTAACAGATTTCACTGAAGCAAGTTTTCTCAAGATTTATCTTCATCTTCTCGATTTAAGCCCTTGCACTAGAGAGAGAAGAGTATAAGAACAAACTGACATAGTGAGTTACAAGGAAATCTCACGGAGAAAACAGAGTAATTTTTTTGTTGAATGCAACCTGCAGAATCAACTTTGAGAACACTCTAGCCTACTAAATGATAACCTTTTCCACCTTCTTTCATTATTTGAATCATTAAATTGTCAGGGCATAAGCAGAAACATTTTCCAGTTTAGTACATAGGAAGTGACATTCAAAACTAGTCCTACAAAATGTTATTTTTGTTTATTATTACAAATCATGATAATTTAGTCAGCTAATTAAAAGGTGCCTATTATGAAGTAAAGTTGCTAAGTGCATATCTTCAGCATATAGCAATATATAATACTCCTAGTAGCAACAATTACATAGAACTTTAAGGTTGGCAAAATGCTTTATAAATATTATCTAATTCTATTCTCAAGCCTTAATAAATGCTTTTTTAAATTTATTCACTTCATTTGAGTGAGTTAACTTCCTCTTCTCAAAAGAGAAGTTTATAGTGTAGTCTGAGGCAAGAGTGGTGAGGCACCTCATTGGGACACGAATTAACTTAAATAAGGTTAAGCCCAGGGTCATGTAGCCAGTGTGCGTCCAAGATGCCTTCATTTTATAGATGAGGCAAGGGAGGCCCAAAGAGGCAAAACTTGCCCATGAACACACAGATAGTATCAGGGCAGAACTTGAACTCAGGTCTTTCTGACTCCCCAGCACTTTGTGAACTTCCAGCCCAGTCTTCTTTCTAAAATACTATAAAATTCTAAACATTCTTTACAACAACCAAAGTTGTGGTTTGTCCTTCCTTCTCAAAGAGGACCATGACGTCAGGGAAATGATGACGTGATTTGCAATAGAATTGGATTTGAGTAAGGGAGAGTCGTGCAAAGTCATTAGTCTTACTTTCTCCTCCAAAGCCATCTGGGTCCAGTGGGTGCAAATGGTTTCCTATGCCTAAGTGGCATAGTGGATTGGTGTGGGGGAGACTTAGAGGCAGAAGACCTGACACTGAATCTTGCCTCAGACCCTTATGTCCACATGACTCTGAGGAAATCATTTCATCTCCTCTGGGCCTCAGTTTCCCCATCTGTAAAATGAAGGGTTTGGACTGGCATCTGAGGTTCCTTCTGTAAGGAGAGAGATGAGGTGACTATCCAGGACCGTTCCCTTTGTGTGTGTCAAAGACTAGAGTTGAACCATTCTGCTCAGTCCCATTTACCATGCTGCTTCTTAGAGAAGGCCTCACTTGCTTCAGAAGAGAAGACAATTCTCCTTTCTTATCACCTGTATACATTCAATTCAACAGCACAAATGGGTGTAAGCTTGTTGCTGTGCAGTCTGTGGGACTGTTGGTGACCCCATTTGGAGTTTTCTTGGCAAAAATATTGGACCAGTTTGCCATTTCCTTCACCAGCTCATTTTACAGATGAGGAAACTGAGGCAAACAGAGTTAAAAGACTTGCCCAGGGTCACACAGCTAGTGAGTGTCTGAAGCCAGATTTGAACTCAGGAAGATGAGTCTTCCTGACTCCAGGACCAGCACTCCATCCACTGTACCACATACCTGACTCTAGGTTTAGGCTACTGTGTTTAAAGGCAGAGAGCAATCCCTGCTCATTAAGGCTTACTCTAATGGGAGTGGGAAGTAGAAATCCTGACACACAATGGTGATACAAGGAAGGCATTAGTAAGTGCATGGTAATGTCCAGGAAAAGTGTTAGCAGAAACCTGGAGTCAGGAAGACTTCCTGGAGGCAGTGTTGTCTAAACTGGGCCTGGAAGTATGGGAGGGCCTTGAACAGACCTGACTAGAGAGTGTGGAGGAAGACCGTCAAAGGGGGGAGGGAATCAGTCTGGCTGAACTTGTGAGGTGTCTGAGATCAGAGCTGGGTACAGGGAGAAGAGAGTATAGGGTCTGAATCGCAGGTCCGGGAGAGTTTTGTTCCAGACTCACTAGAGAGCCTAAGGCTGTGCTGAACCTGGACTTGGGCTCCTCCAACTCCTCGCCCCTGCCCTGGCCCCTTTGGAGCCCCTTCCCTCGGAAGGTAGCACTGCCCTGCACTCTGCAGCTCGAAGCTTCCAGGACCACAGAGCAGCTCGAGCAGCTGCCGCTTGACATGGGGGGGGCGCGGGGGGGGCGGCGGTATTTAGTTCTCTCGTTTTCAGGAGTCATTGCCTGAAGGGGATCCTCTCTTTGCCCCCACTGGGCGAACCTGGGCATCGTGGGGTATCTCTCCCTCCAGGCTGATCCCCTCCAATCTGATCCTCCCACTCCCTTCCCCATTCCGAGTGGGAGGAAAGGAAGAAGGGATTTCTGGGGGGGCTCCTGAAGTTCCAGACCCTAGTCCATCTGAACGCAGGTGGTGCCAAGATCTCCCTGGACTCCTCCCCAGTAGGGGAGGGGCAAGGGAGTGGGTTCCGGGCCCTAGTAACTGGAGACTTCCCAAGGATTCTGTGGCTAGGGAGCACGTTTCCAATTTTCCCCTCCAACCCCTAAAGACGGTGGCCAAAAAGGCTGCAGACCCCACCCTTCCAGGTAGTTACCCGTCAATGCACACACTCACACAAACATGCACACAATCCTCTAGCCGCTAATAACAACACAGCAAGGCAAATGCTTTAGTATAGGCGCGCCCAAGCTCTTTTGAGCGCTTGTGTGTGTGTGTGTGTGTGTGTGTGTGTGTGTCTGTGTGTGTCTGTGTCTGGGTCTGTGTGTGTGGTGTGGGTCTGTGTGAGCGCGTTTTTAGGATCAGGGAGGAGATTCTGCAGAAGGTTCAGGAGCCCAGGCACAGCCCTGGGAACCGAGGCTTTGTGCCCGTTTCCAGGAGCAGGGGGTTCGGGGGGGGGGGTGTTTCACCCGGGTTTGGGAAAGCCGAGGAGTTGTGCAGTGTGCGAGAGGGGAGGGGCAGAGCAGGAGCCTGCTGCCTGCAGGAGCAGTGGGCTGTAGAGGGGGAATCCAGACAAGGCGCGGGGAGGGACAGAGGGCTGCAAGCCTAGGACCCGGCACCCGCCTGGGCGGGGCCTCGAGACGGAGATGGCCCCACGGGATGCTCTCACCCCAGCCCCCTGGCTGGCTCTCTCGGGCTCCTGCGCAACTCTCCCGAATCCGGGCTGGGCCAGTCCGTAGGGTCTGAGCCGAAGCGCCGCGCCACCTAGGATCCTCCCCGAGTGCGCTCAGGCGGCCGGGTCCGCCCCCCTGGAAGTCCGCAGCCCACCCTGAGGGCGGCATCCCATAGCCTCCAAGCCCGAATGGCCAGTCCAGTCCCGACCCCTCCCCACTAAGCCCCTCCAGGCGAGCTGAGGCGCAGGGTACAGGGGGAAGTCCACCTTCACCCTCACTCACCCACTTACACACTCACTCACACACTCACACACACACACACACACACACACACACACACACCCCTTCCGCCCGTCCATCCTACCCCTCCCAGCCAACAGTCCGGGCCAAAGGCACCTCCCTCCCACCGCACTTACAAAATTGTCCCCGCAGCCGTTGTCCGGACACAGCACATAAAAGGAGACCCCCGGGTCAGCGTAGAAATCCATCCTCCTCTCCGTCTCTTCCGTGGCGATGAGGTCGAAGGGGGTGTTGGAACACCATTTGTCCGCAACGTCAGCCAGCTGCTGGAAATCCATCCCGTCGGTCGCCCCCGCCTCGCTCCCCTCTCCACTGCCCTCCTCGCTCGCTCCTCCTCTCTCTGTGGCTCCCTCGCTCTAGCTGTCCGGCCCTCTGGGCGCAGCTCTCGGCCTCTCCCCTCCACGAGCGCTGCGCTCAACTCGGCTCGGCTCAGCCCCGGCTTCCTCTGGTCTCCTGCCTCCCAGTACGTCGGCGATCCCGCCCGGGGAATCCACGGGGCCAGGGGGCTCCTCGCGGACCTGCTTTAATGCCCAGCTCTCCCGCTCTGGCTCCCTGGAGAACTCTTAGCGGGGACTGTTTACATGTTGTGGGTAAAAAGCAGGCGGCGGGCGGGCTGGGGACGGGCTGGCTGGGGGCGGGCTGCGGCGACGGACTCTGCCCCTCCTCCTCCTCCTCCTTCTTCCCCTCCTCTTCCTTCTCCCTCCCGCTCCACGGACAGTTGGGCTCGGCGGGCAGCGTGGCCAGCGGCTGGCTGGAGTGGGAGGGGGGAAGTGGGGGCGGACGCTGCACTAGCTCTAGGGAGAGGACGGGACGCAATTGCCTTCCTCGGCTCCTCCTAGTCACCGAACAAAACCTTCCTGCCGCGCCTCCAGAGAGCGGAGCCTGCTCGGCCCGTGACGTCATAATGCTGGGGAGCCAATCGGCTAGGCTTGGAACGTTAGGAAAAGGCTACTTGGGTCCGAATACTCGAACCCGGTGATGTCACAATGGGAGCCCTTTTGGAGGGAGCTACGCTACTCTCGCCTGTGGAAAGTGAACCTGCCCGACTGCCTTGGTTTGTAAGCAGGGGTAATGTTTCCGTGGACGTAGCCAGAAAGATCACAGGGTTTCAGATACAAACACTTTTTTTTTTTAACCTTAGAGAAAGGTACTGGGAAATGCACCTTGGGCAAGTAATTTTTGCTGTTGTTTAGTAGTTTTTCAGCAGTGCCCGACTCTTTGAGACCCCTTTTGGGGTTTTCTTGGCAAAGATACTGGGTAGGTAATAGGACCAAGGTAGATAAGCTCGCTTTCTCTCCCTCTCACTCTCCCTCCCTTCTTCAATTCAGTTAAACAATTCAATAAACATGTATTAAGCACTCACTTTGTGCAAACCTCTGTGGTAGCTTCTTTTCATATTAAGCTCAGAACTGGAAGGAACCCTATTAGAGGCCAGAGGCCAGCTCCCGAATTTTACAGATGAAGAAAGTGAGGTCCAGAGAAGTTGTGACTTACCCAAGGCCCTACAGGTAGTAAGTAGCAGAGGAACCTGGAACCCAGGTCCTCTGATTTCAAATCCAGTGATTTGCCACTATACTGCATTACCTCTTTCCTCTTTTCCTCTCTCCCTCCCTCCTTCCCTCCCTTCCTTTTTTCCTTTCTTCAACTCTTGATCCTTCCTTCCATTTTCTTTCTCTGTAGTAAAGCTCTGTCCATAAGGAAGTGAATATCAGACTAATTTAAAACAATTCTCACATACCAGTACCCTTTCCCAGCACTGCGGTATAGTGGGGAAAACACTGGAAGAAGACTGAGTCACATATAGCCTTAGCTTTATCTCTACCTGTGTAAAATTGAACAAAGCTCTTTCCCTCTCTAGGCTTCAGTTTCCTCATCAGGTCAGTGGGTTGGACTATAGTTGCTAAGGTCCCTTTCAGTTAGAAAGTTCCAGGATCCTTTAAGGAAATGAAGTTCTACAGAATAAATATTTCACTTGAGAAAATAAAAGTGAACCCTTCTTTGAGAGCATGGAAATAGCAGATTCTTCCTATTGCCCAGGTACAGCTTAGTAACGGCTGGCCTAAGCCAGAGAATGCAATGTAAAAAAGAATGAAGTTCCAAAGGGCTTATCTGTTGAAAGTCCATTGGAACATGCATTGCCCTAGGTACTAGTACCTTGCCGAGGACAATGAAAATTCTCGCCTTCAAGAAATCCACCCGCTGTGATTGACAGGTCTACTTGGATATTCTCTAAAAATCTCAAAGAGAACTCATCTCTTCCTCCAGTTCTTCCTCCCTTTTCCTGCTTCGGTTGAGGGATCACGGTCCTTCTGGTCAACCAGGTTTGTAACCTTGGCATTCTACCTGACCTCTCACCTTCCCTCACACATCCAATAAGTTGCCAAGTTATGTTAATTTGATCTTCACCAAATTTCCCATCAATCAACTGCTCAGCACAGCTTCAAGCTCTCATTGCCTCTCCTCTGGGACTATTTCAACTGCCTCCTCATTGATGGCTCTGCTTCAAGTCTCTCTCCCCATCTCTTCTCCATAGAGCCACCAAAGTGACTTTCCTCAAACAGGCTTTTGCCTAAGCTTCTGGGGCTCTCTCCACTCCAGGATAAGGTGGAAACTCCTCACTTTGGCATTAGAGCCGTCACAACTTGGCTCCAGCCCATTTTCCCCCATTTATTGCAAATTATACCCCCTCATTGTAACCTTCTGTATCCCAGCCAAATTGGCCCACTTTGCTGCTTCTTCAATAAAGAACTCCATCTCTGAGACTGCACAAGCTGCCCTCCTGTAGGTGGAAAGCTCCCGCTTCCTAGGTGGTACAGTGGATAATGTACTGAGCTTGGAATTAGAAAGACCTGAGTTCAAATCTTGCCTTATTGACTGTGTCACTCTGTGCTAGTCACACTCAACCTCAGTGTCTTTACTGGTACCATGGGGTAGGACTTCATGGCCCCTAAGTTCCTTTTCAGCTCAGAATCTATCATCTTAGGATTTCCACCTTTGGAATCCCCAACATTCTCTTCTTTCCACACCCCACACCTCAACCCCATTGCTCTCCATTACTCCTACTGCCTGTAGAAGTATATTTTGTATTGATCTGGGAACCTGTCATAGCTGCCTAGTAGAATGGTAAACTCCCTAAGGAGAGAGACTGTTTTTTCTTTGCCATCCCGAAGCACAACAGTTAGTGTTTAATAAATGCTCCTTGAATTAAACTGAATCACCAGATCAGTAATCTACAGGAAACCTTTTAAGTATCTCTTGCTTTCTAAAAATAGATGGGGTTCAGCCAAGCTGGCTACAAAGCAAATTTTAGTAAATTAAGAATTTCTGTTGACTTTCAAGCTGAATTCGAAGTGGGAGAAACCCTGAGTTGAGAGTTTGGGGTAAGGAAGGGGTTGGGCTTGCAGCCAGTCCTGGCACCTGCTGACCTGCTTTAGAGCACATCTGAATTTTCTTCCTGCCTGGAGTGGTAGGGCCACTTTTTCTGTACCACACTCTCCTGTTTCCAAGACTTCTTTCCCATTAACACTGGTCAGTCCCTTCTGTCATTGCTCCTCCAGTCCCCTGTACCCACCTGGGTTTGGGTTTTCCCTCTGATATGCATACTGATCATGTGACACTGGAGGCAGTAGTCTTGCAGAAGAGTTGCAGGACATAGATTCATATTGGTAGAAGATACTTTCCCTACGCTAATGAAATCATAGCTCTGGACCAAAAAAAAAAAAACAACTGATTTCATAAACCAAAATTGTATGCCTGTTCTGGAGCCTCCTAGAGGTATTGAGGGCATGCTGGGATCACCAAGGCAATAACAGTAAAAACTGACATTCAAATAGTGCTTTAAAGTTCACAAAGCTCTTTAATACATTATCTCATTTCAGTTAATCAGAAATGCTACTGTGTGCTGGACTCTGGACTAGGTACTGGGATATAAAGATAAAAAAGTGGAACAGTCCCTGCCCTCAGGGTGTTTACATTCTATTGAGGCTGAGATATGTGTGTAGGTACATAGAAAATAGGGGTATAGGGTGCTAGCAGTGGGCATCAGGAAAACCTCCATGAAGAAGATCGAGCTTGAGTAAACCAGGGATTCCTAGAGGCAGATGAGGAGAAAGTATATTCCTGGTACAGAGAACAGCCAGTGCAAAGGAACAAAGTTACAAGATTAATCTCAAGATAACCAATGCACCTCAAACCCGTCAGTGAGTGAGGGCGATGTCTGCCCCAAGCCTGTGAAGACTTTCCCAGTGGAATGGGCAGATGAGAACAATTTGTTCCAACGGCTATGAGGGTGGCTGAAGCAGGTGCTGTGGAGAGCTTGGGCATTGAAGATGCCAAGGTCATCTGCTGCATTCTGGGTTATCTCCAGTCAGCTTGACTTTTTAACCTGCCACTGGACTTCAGTCGCTCAGAAGAGAGTGTAAAGCTGGTAACTTTGTGAAACTCGGCCTCACTTAAATTCAATTCCCTCGCAAGTCATCACCATGTGACATCATTAATCCTCTTTGAAAGTGAAGGACAAACAATAGCAACACCCCCATTTTACAGATGAGCAAACTGAGGTTTAGGGAGGACAAGTGATATGTCCAGAGTCACAAAGATATTAAGTGTCAGAGGTGGGATTCATATCAAGATCTTCTGCATTCCAGTATTCAACCTGCTATGCCTACGCCTGCAGAAATCCTGTCACCATGGAAGGACCTTCTACTGCCTCTGTTTTGGGGAGTCCTAGCTACATGCCCCTCTCCAGACTCGTGCTCAGAGATGGGAACATGTTTTTGGCACAGCAATTCATGAAGACCAGCCATTAAGGTCCTAGGGGGTTTGCAATCTGTGTCCATAGAGGGAGTACCTCCTTTGAGGAAGTTGAATCCTAGGTACATTACGATATGGATGTAAGTGTTTGACAGAAGAGAGTGGTCTCTAACTAAAAAGAATTTTAAGCACCAAAACTAGGAATCTGGCCACAAAAACATTGTTCCCTGTCCTAGAAGAATCATTCTTTGGGCCCCCTAGATTTTGCTCTGCTTGCTAGGACAAGGAGTCAGCAGATATAGAACAGAGGGCAAAGGGGTCAAGTGCGAGTGTGACATGAGACAATGGGTGGATGCCTCACTGGGCACTGATTTCAGCTGATGGTCAAGAACACTTTCCCCACCATAGCACGGTGTCCTGGAAAGAGCGAGGGGCATTGGAACCAGAACACCTGAGTTTGAATCCCATCTTTCAACTCGTGACCTGTGGGACCTTCAACAAATGATGAGCTTCAGTTTCCTCCTTACCTTCCTTAAAGGTAAAATGGAGTGGTTGCATTGGATGACATCTGCGATTTCTGCTAGCCAGAAGAGATCTGAGATTTTTAGGAAACCAGTCTGGACCAGTGGAATTTTAGAGGGCCGGTGTAATAGTGTTTCATGGTGGTGCCTCTCCCCCACTCCAAAAAACAAAAAGCTGTTCAGACTGCATTTACCCATCATCCTTCCAGTGTCTCAGGTTGATAATCTCAGCATTAGCCTTGACTTCTCAGTCTCCCTCACTCCCAAGTAGCCATTCAGTGGCCAAATATTGCCATTTCTACTTTCCCAACATCTAGAGCATCTGAGCCCTCCTCTCTATGTAT